ACAATTGGTATCAGAGCCTAACTTGCGTCCAAACTTAACCGTTTGAGAGTAAAGTGATCATGGGTTCTTCTTCTAATAATTTGTATGCAGGAATAGGTGAAGGACAATCAACCACACCGCCACCTCTTTTTGATGGAACCAATTATACATATTGGAAGGAACGAATGAGAATCTATATTCGTTCCACGAACTTCCAATTATGGTTGGTTATCAAAAACGGGGAAGAGGTGCCAATGAAGAAATTCGGAGATAAGTTGATCCCCAAGACCGAAGACGAATTTGATGCCGAAGACATCAAGAAAGTAGAAAACTATGCAAAGGCATTTAACATGATCTACTGCGCAGTCAATCCCGATGACTACCGCAAGATCTCCTGCTACTCAACCGCCAAGGAGATGTGGGATAAGCTCGAGGTGACGTACGAAGGAATGGACCAAGTACGTGAAGCCAAGATCGACTTCCTCACCCAAGAGTATGAGATGTTCAGGATGAAGGAGCACAAGAAGATTGACGATATGTTCGGCCGTTTCTCCAAGATAGTCAACGATCTTCATGCATTAAAGAAGACGTACACCGACAGGGGTCTTGTGCGAAAGATCCTACGGAGCTTGACATCCGAATGGCGATCCAAGGCCGATGCCATCTATGAATCAATCGGCACATCAAATGTCACCATCGACGGCCTAAGAGGTAATCTAAAAACCTATGAATCGACTATTCTTAATCCGTCTTTGAATGACCAAAGGAAAGGGATAGCACTAAAAGCCGTCAAAGAATCAATGATGGATGATTCAAGTGATGATGATGAAGTCAAGCTTGTCATGAAGAAGTTCTGCAAACTTCTAAGAAAGAAAGAAAAGGTTGAGGATGGCCCTGTGTGCTATGGATGTGGAGAAGCCGGGCACATCAAGAACAAATGCCCGAAAAGCGGAAGGAATGCTCGACACTTCAAAAGGCAAAGGGCGTATATCTCTTGGGGTGGAGACTCCGGCGACGAGTCAACCGACCAAGATGAGGATGAAGCTGCCAACCTCTGTCTCATGGCACACGAAGACCAAACCGACGATGTACAAGAGGTATGTACCATTTCTTCCGACTCTTACACTTTTGAAGAAATGCAAGAAGCACTTCACGAACTTTATGATGAATTTGTTAGCGCTTCTAAACTCAACAAATCGTTAAAGAAACACCTTTCCACTCTTGAAAATGATTTTGAAAAGTTGGAAAAAGATAATGAGAAGTTGAAACAAGAAAATAAATTTTACGGCAAAAGAAGCGCCGACAAACCGGAAAGTTCCTAAAACGAATGTGAATCTTGTAAAGCTTTAAAGGAACAAGTCACTAAACTTGAGAGTACGGTTAAGAAATTTAATACTCCGCACAAAAATCTTAATTTACTCCTTGACACCATGCATTTTTCTAAAGAAGGAATAGGTTTTGATAAAAATGAATCTAAGGATAAAAACGTTGAGCAAGCACCTAGACAACCTCTTAAGGCTCAACATAAGAAAAGTAAAAATCAGGATAATAGAAAATCTAGTCAACCTAAGGACACTAGACAACCTAGACAAAAGCCTAGGAATGAAAATGTGCATGTTAGACAACCCAAGAAAAACTATCAAAATGAATTTGTGCATAAAATTAATTTTTTCAAATAGACAAAATAATGCTAGAACACCTAGAAGAGAGAGTTTTCAAAAACCAATATTTTCCCAAAATATGATGAATATGGTTAGGCCCTCTAGCAACTATTATCAACCTAAGAGGATGCACAACCCAAACGTAGTTTGCCATTATTGCAATAGGGTAGGACATATAGCTCCCGTGTGTTTACCAGACATAGGCACTCCACCTATAATGAAACACACAACATTTTTGGTGCTAACAAAAAGAAATCCTTTAGAAAAGGATATTCGTATCATAAACAATCTCCACAGGATAATGCACAAAAGAAACCGTATTATTTTTTCTACTTCGACGAAAAGAAGAAAGTCCACATTCCATTACCGAAACCAACACAAACCACACCGAGATATCGACACTCCGTTCAGGTAGACTGGAACCCGCCAACCACGAGACAATGAGTTGGCCAAGGTGACTCCTAAACAATCATTTAATTGTGTGTGTGTGTGTGCGAATTTTGGGTGTGTGTGTGGGCAATAAAGGTCAACTAACCCCCAAGGACCCATAGACATACTTTGGGTACCAAAGTGTTATTCTTTTTTTTGCAGGGACGGTTCGAAGTGAAGAATTCTGGAAATCAGGGGGAACCAGCGATGGGTGGGCTACACCATCGCTGGGAGGGAAGTTCTCTTTTTCCAGAACCCCTCTTCCCATCGATGGGAACTTTCTCCCATCAATGGGTGATTGACTCTATTTTTAAAAAAATACTTAACGGTTTTCCAGAACACCTCAACCCATCGATGGGTATTTTATCCCATCGCTGGGTGAAGGACATTTTGTCAAATTTGTTTTACAGAACCTCCCTACCCATCGATGGAAACTTTCTCCCATCGCTAGGTATTTGACACTTTTTTTAAAAAAGGTTTTATCGGACTTCCAGTAGCCACCTTCTCATCAATGGGTGAATATTACCATCGCTGGGAAGGCAGCCTTGTTTTCTTCTCGCTTTCCAGTATTGACTCTCCCATCGATGGGCAGTTCTTACCATCGCTGGGAAGGCAGTTGAAATTCAAAAATTATGGTCGTTGGGCACCGAATTTAATGCCCAACAGCCATATTTTTTGAATTCACACGGTTTCATCTTCCTCTCCCTATATATTCACCTCATCCCTTACCTTCTTAACATACAATTAACATCATATTTTCATTTCTTTAGCCAATCTTTCTTAAGAAACGCTTCAATTATGGCCGGAGGAAAGTCCAAGAGCAAAGCTTCCAAGAAGAAGGTCACTACCGAGGCCACAACCTCTGCGCCTCAACCCTTTCCGTACCTGGACGGATCCTTTCTCAAGTTTGGCTCGGAGGAAGAACTCACTCGCTTCATCACCCACTTCGCCAAACGCCGTATCTCTCCGCCAAGAGTGCTGCCCGAGTTGTTTCCCTAGCAAAAAGGGTACCACGACCTCGACAATCAACTCAAGGAGTCGGGTTTGTGGCCCTTCGTCTCCAAGAGCCGCACCTCCTTCAATCCCGCCTATGTCCGGGCCTTCTACTCCAATCTCTACCGGGACGGGGATACCATCCGCAGTAGCATCAATCTCTATGACATAGAGGTTGACTTGGCTACTTTTGCTCGGGTTGCAGGGCTGCCCACCCGCGGTGACGACATCGCGACATATGGTGGCGATGATTGGATTCTCAACAACGAGGCGGTGGTCATCCAAGGGCTTGGAATCACCAACCTCATCTGTCACAGCGGCGCACCAACCATCCACTCAGCCCCGCCGGAAAAGCGTCTCCTACTCTACATCCTCACCCGGATTCTTCGCCCCCGGGACAGTAGCCACACCTCTCTCTCCAACGAGGATCTCAAGGCGATTCATGCTATCATCCATTGCGCCTCCATCACCACCGAGCGGAGCTTGCCATACGCCTTCCTCGTCATGGATCTCATTGTTGCCTCCGACATCCACATCGCCGGCCCGGATACGAAGATGACGAAGCTTTGGATCATCCAAGACAGCACCTTCCGGAAGATATCCGGTGACAGAACCGGCGCAGGACCAAGTCGGCCACCAGCCCCCGCTCCCGCCAAGGCCTCCTTACAGTCGATAGCCGATACCCTGAATCGGCTAACCATCACCGTAGACGGCATGGGCCAATACTTGGAGCGGATGGATAGCACGCTGCAACGCCAACACCACGACATCAGGGCGTTCTTCCGCGGCATCAACTACGTCCCGCCGCCCTTTGACAGCACCTTCCTTGGCCAAAACTATGAAGGCGAGGACGAGGAGTATAACTCCTAGGCTCCGTCCTCCTCCCCCGACGAGGCCGACTTTGAGGACGCGGTTGACGGGGATCCCATGGACGTCGAGGATGACGAGGACGACGAGGATGACGAGAACGATGACAATGACAACGAGGACGAGGACGCCGATGCCTAGACTCTTCCTTTCTTTCATTTTCCTACTATGATTGCATCTTTTTTATTTCAATTCCGTAGTATTCTGCATTTCCCTTCATTTAATGAATAAAAGTTCACTTTTAAAGTCTACTTTTAATTCTTTTTGTTAATGTCAAAAGGGGGAAGATATCAAGGTTATGCATAAATTGAGGGGGAATTTTTACATTGTTAAAAATAAAATGGCATCTATTAAGGGGGAACATTTTTTTTCTCAAAACAATCCTCATATGCATAACCTCATCTCGTTTGCCATTATCAAAAAGGGGGAAATTGTTGAAACACGGGCTTGTCACGTTTTTCGTACTAAAGCCGTGTTTGTTTTTATGACAAGTTTTGATAATGCCAAACCGCCGTGATCAAGTCAAACTTTGAATATACAAGGCGAAGAACGAAGATAAGAACAAGAGCTAAATGAAGACCAAGAACGAAGACCTTAGTCTTAGTATCGTTGAGTCGGTCTTTATTGTGATCAAGACCGACCCAATCTTTACACCTTGGCTCTTTAGGCTAAAACTTTCATTGCATTTCTTACATCATAAAAATGTTTTTCAAACTTGTTTAAGTCATTAAAAACACTTGGTGTTCACCCAAACCAAAAACCAAGCCCTCCAGTGTTCGGCTTTCAGAAACCAGCATTCGGCTTTCGGTTATCGGCATTGGTTTTTGGCATCCGAACCAACCAAGTGGTTTTCAGAATTTTATGATTGGTTTCCACTCTTTGGAATGTTTAAACGGTTCTCCAACAAAAACACTTTGAAAACCATCTTTCGCTTTTGGTCGTTTGACAAAAACCACGCAAAACGGCGTAAACTTGGCTAGCCGTGGTTTTTACTCAAATGACGTGGTTTTTAAAGTAAATCACTTGATTTCTTAGCCAAATACATCAAATAAGTGTTTCAAACACTATGTTTTTATTTTGGAGAACTTTGGATTTTTCGGTCGGTTTTTGCATCGGTTGGCTAGGCCGTGGCTAAGGCAAAGACCATGGGTTTTTGGCTAACCACCCACCCAGCAATGGGAAGATCTTACCATCGATGGGTAAGCGGTCCCTAAGCCAAACCAACTTCTAGAACCATGCCAAACAGCGATGGGAAGTTCTACCCATCGCTGTTAAAGCCTTGGTGCAACATTATCACAAGGCAGAACAACCTTGCCCAGCGATGGGAAACCTATCCCATCGATGGGAACCCAGCGATGGTAAGGCTAAACCATCGATGGGAAGGCATGACCGTTGGAAGTCATTTAAGGTTGATTCTTTCCTTGTTTGGAAGTCAACCTCCCACCCAGCGATGGGAAGCTTGTACCCATCGATGGGTAGGCAACCGTTGGCTTCAAAACTGAAGGAAAATTGGCTTACCAGCGATGGGTAAGTTCCAAACATCGATGGGAAGCTAATATCCTGCAGATCCCAAATCTTTTCAATCCCATAAATCAAGCCGATCACCCCTTTAATGCATTGATCCGTTGGAGCCTATTTTTGCACTATAAAAAGGATGTTTGGGTCTGCTTTTCTCACCAATTCACTTCACAATTCTCCTACTTTCATTGCATTCAAACAACATATATTTTCATAGCTTTTTAGAGCCAATTCGTGTGAAGTTTGAGTTGTTCTTGAGCGTACTTAGTTTACTCATCATCTACTCTTAAAGAGAGTCTTGTTCTTGAGTGTTTAGTGTTGTATACACGTTAAGGGAAGCATGTTTCCATTGGTTGTACGAAGGAAAGGTATTTTCCTTCGGGTTGAAGCCTTGGAGTGCGGTATCTCCGAGCAAGTGTTGTTGAGGCTCGTGGGACTCGAGTTCTCAGGTTGTAACGGTTTGTTAAGCACCCGTAAGCTTAACGGAAGTAGTGTAGCTCGAGAGAGTCTCTCGGGAGACTAGATTAGCCACACGTTGTGGTGAACCAGTATAAATCTTGGTGTGCTCCCTTTACGCTTTCTACGCTCTTTACTTTTCACAATCTTAATTTTTTATTCCTGCGATTTCTACGATCAAACGCTATTCAATACAGTATACATGATATAACATGCATAATCAATAACATCGTCATTCATGAGATACAATAATAATGATATAACATCAATTTCTTTCCTCTTTAATTTACTTTACTACTTTTTCATACTTGGCTCTTAACCTAAGTTGGGTTAAAGCTTAACTGTATTCGATTTGCCTATGGTAGTCATGCCCTTCCCCTTCGGAACAAAGGTCAAGCTCAAACCAACTCGGGAGTTCCTCATTGGGTACGTGAGATCCATGTCCCCTTTGGAACGACAATTCTCCAAGACAGCCATTGGACCCAGCAAGTACCACATGACTTTAACTTACTAACTTATGGCATACCTTTCCACTAATCCATTCAGGTCAGTCCCTAGAGTTTATTATAGGTGATTCATCCTTTAATCATTAGCCATCCATAATAAAATGTTCATATATCAAACAAGTATCACTCATCACGTTTATCACGCTCAAACAGCACCCTAACAGTGGGTGTCGACACCTATGTTTACTATCATGCAACACACAAAGTCTCGAAATCAATCCTCGACGTAAACAGAAGATTCGGACTAGTTTAGGTACCACACAGTACCCTTGGCGGTAGGGGGTACCGACCCAACGGTACCAGGGTACCATCCCACGGTACATGGGTATCGACCATGTAACTAAAAAGCACCCTTTCAGTAGGCTATCTTTGTAGCCTCTACTGACCCGGCGGTAGGGCCTACCGTTCATCCAGTAACTACACAGCAAAGGAAAAACGAGGCGGGTGGAGGTAGCCAGGTACCATGCCGATGGTTCCCATCTACCGTCTGTCGCGGCAAACCTGAGAGTTGCACTAGCTTCGTTTTTACCCATCAAACCAATATTAAACTCAGAAGAACAAGCTTCAACAGATTCTAAATTGATAATCAAACATTATCTAACATGCTCTTAAACAATTCTAAACTAAATCATGCTTCTCAAACCGTAAACAACATAACCAAGGCATAATTCACGTAGGTTCAAGTAGGTCAACAGTAACGATTCTACAAACATAAGATTCAAACCTATGACTATAACTATTCGTTAGATGTCCATGTACTCACCACAAATTCGACGATTAATACTACGAGGCACAACCAAAGAATGTGGTACGACGATGTTGAACTCCTCTTATTTTTTCTTCTTTCTTTTCTTCCCTTTTCTTCTTTCCTGCTGCTGTTGTTCCGTTCTTCTGCTCTGCTTCTGATCGGCAAGAGACACACGAGAAAGAGGGAAGGGTTACGTAATATTATGGGAGGCGTGGAAATGGTTTCGGGCGTGTAGGGAGTATATTTATAGGTTTGGGGTTTTCGGATCTGTATTAACTTAACGTGCCTGGCCCAAACACACTTTATGTCCCACAGGCTCCAAATCTGAATCAGATTGCACCGTTGGATTCCTTCCATCAAATCCTACAAAATGGTATAAACCTTATTATCAAACGAAGAATATTTCATAAGTTCCACCGAGTCCGTCTTTGTAAAAAATTAACTATTTTTAATTAATTAATTCTATTAGGTTGGGTTTCAGTGCGTTACAGATATAGTTCCGAGGATTGAGCCGATCTCGGTGACATCGTTTTGTATGGCACCTGCAGAGATGAAGGAGCTGAAGGCTCAACTTCAAGAATTGTTGGACAAGGGATTCATTGGGTCTAGTGTGTCCCCTTGGGGAACACCGGGCCTCTTCGTCAAAAAGAAATATGGATATATGATACTGTGCATTGACTATCGACAGTTCAATAAACCAACAATCAAGAACCATTATATGTTACCGCGAATTGACGACTTGTTTGACCATCTCATAGGAGCTATAATGTTCTTGAAGATAGACCTTTCGGCCAGGTTACCATCGGATTCCGGTAGCTGTAATCGTACAGTACCTAGGTACCGGAGTGATGATAGGCCCCATCGCCGGGTCGGTAGTCAGCTACCATGACAAGCCTACCGGAAGGGTTTAGCTGTTACGATAGTACCATAGGACTGGTACCCCATATTGTGACAGGTGCCGTCTGGAACCTTAGTTGGATCAATTGACCTGTGTTTCCGTCAAGGATTGATTCCAATACTTTGTGTGTTGCATGACAGTAAATATGGGTGTTTACACCCAGTGTTAGGCCGCTATTTGATCGTGTTGGATATCTTGTTAAATGCATCGTGGACTTATGAATGCTGTATTAGGAATTTTTAATGAATGTTGAACATATCACCTAGAGGAGCTCTAGAAAATGACCTGAATGGATTAGTGGAAAGGTATGCCATAAGTATAGTAAGTTAGAGTCATGTGGTACCTTCTAGGTCCAATGGTTATCCGGGTAAAAACGTGTGCACGAGGATTTATGAATTATTTTCCAAAGGGGACATGGATCTCACCCACCCAATAGAGAACTCCCGAGTTGGTTTGAGCTTGACATTCGTTATGAAGGGGAAGGTCATTACTCACATAGACAAGTTGAGATCAATTAAGCTTTAACCTAGAATAGGTTAAGAGCCAAGTATAAGAAAGAAAATTAATTGGAATTAATAAAGAGTACTTAACATACATATTACTGTGTGGTTACTTCTTATGAGTTGTTGTGTTATTGCGATGAATGTTCTATGTGCATGATATCGTATGATGATATGAGCTAGTGAGGTCGTCTATGTGTATGACTGTATATTAGATATTTCTCACTTAGCTTCAATGCTAAGCTTGCAGTGTTTGTTCTTTTGATGCACGTAGGTAATTCAGAAAATGAGGAACTTGGAGCCAATCTCGGAGGGCAATGAGGATGACGAATGTGCGTGGCTGTCTTTGATTATTTTTGAACTATTATTTAATATTTAAATGACTTATTACTTTTACGAGCTTGACTCTCAAGTTGTGTTTTGAATAGTAATTAAGCTTCCGTAAATATTTTAATTATTACTCCGATGATTGTTAAATTACATTTTAAAGAATTTATTTCAATTGTTTGGAAATTAAGTTGTGTTTGGATACCAATTTAGTAGCAACCCAGTTCGCTAATCTGTGTACTCGGGTTATGCGGGTTGGGGTGTTACAAACCAATTCTAATATTAGACTAAGATGTCTAACAAATCATCATTGTATGTTGTTTGTTTGGATGAAAGTTTTCCTTGGGCTATTTGTGCCGTTCGCGTAGATAATAGCGATTTGTTCCATATATGCAGGTTTATATTTGCTCTCTTCTCTTACCTAATCACATATCTTTCTTAATGTTTTGTGTTGTACAATAATAATCTAACGATGCTTGACCAATTCCAACGCGTTCTTCAATTGTAGATTTTATCAAGAACGCACATATAAGGTTGACTTTCGCGATGGTGATCACATGTAGGCTACATCAGAGATAGTTTCTGGTATTGTCAATTGATGCCACAAAAATATAATACTCGTCTAATGAAATACGTGAGGAGATGAGATTGTGATATAGAGTTCTCATGTCATATAAGAAATCGTTAATGGTGAAGCATAAGACATTGGCCAAGTTATATGACACAGATGACAAACATTACAAGTTATTGCCATCCTTGTGTCACGTACTAGAGCAAAAAAACCTAGGTACAGGAAAAAAGTTCACTTATATCTGAAGATCATAGGTTCAAGTATATGTTTTTCTCCCTTGCAGAATGTAGACAAGCATGGGATTAGTGTATCCCGGTCCTCATTATTGACAGCACTTTCATGAAATCATACTATAAAGGGAAACTCCTTAGTGCTCGGTGCCAAGATGATAAAAACAAATTCTGCCCAGAGCGTTTGAAATATGAGATATTGAGGATGAGTCTTTGTGGAGCTGGTTTTTTAAACGTGTCGTGATATGTATATTGTTTCAGATTACCATGAAGGAATTCTTTGTTCTGATAATGATGTTTTCCCAAATACTCCACATGATTATTGCACCGAACATCTTGCGAGAAACATTTCTGAAAAATTTAAAGGACCAAAGCAGGATCTATACTAAAAGTTTAAAGCATCAGCACATGAAGCAACTAAGTAAGGTTGAGCATGAGGAGAACCTCACAATGTTGGATGCTCAAGATCCTAGGGTCCGCACATATCTTGATCGCATTGATGAGTCCAAATGGTCACGTTGTAAGAGTGGGCTGTTTGGGTATTCTTTCATGACATCAAACTCTGCTGAATGACTGAAGACTATGAACAAGTTTGGACATGACTACCATGTTGTGAAATTGGTAGATTTCATCCACGAGAGAATGCAAAAGTGTTTCACGAGTGATTTGAGAAAGCATCGTCCTAAACAACCATACTTCTAAAATAAATCAAAGACAAGATAATTGTAGTCCAATCCATTACATTCATGGGAAGGTATATTCCTCAGCTATCTTTTTTATTGTTATGATTACAAGCGTTATAATAGTTTTTCATTGTTATATTAAAATTTCCATCATAAACATAACTTCTGCAATATTATAGGTTGAGCCGGCAAGTGCATCTGAGTTTGAGGTTGTTGATGGATGGTCTCACACGTTCATTGTATACCTTAGGGCCATAACAAAAAAGGAGGTGTTCATCTGTTGGTGAATTCTGCATGGATATTGTACGCAAAAAGAATTGTTGCACACGATGTCACAACTTGGGCCATAACAAAAAACATACTCTAATACTATACCCACTCAATAGAGTTGTTCTACTGCCATAGCACTAAAGATGTAGTAATTTATTTGGATTAAACATTTTAGGCATTTAGCACATCCACTCAGCAAAATCATGAATACTTCTATCAAATTGTTTATTATTTACACTAAGTCCATGGAATGTAATAATAGGCAAAATTCACAAGAACACTCCGAGAAATTACAGGTTTTACATAAATACTCCCAAATTTATTTATTTACACAGTTACTCCCATATTTGTCTATTATTTACGTCGTTACTTCGCGATTACTTCATCATCAGTGTTCCTCGGGTGCGTCTTTTTATACGGGGTTCTTCATCTTTTTTATTGAATCAAATTAAATTAATATGAAATGACTTGATATTAAACATTAAAAAGATTTAGGAAGTTTGAAATCTGAATTTTTTTTAAAAAAGGTATGGAAAATAAGGGCAATGATTAGGCTTACTAAGACGTGAGAAAGACGAGGGAGAGAATAAGTTGAGGTTAATATGGTATATTAAAGTGAAAAAATACATGTCTGCATTTTAACTGTTCACTTAACGCAAAAAAGACACATCCAAGTAACACTAATGATCACTACCAAATTTGGAAGTAATGATGTAAATAAAAGAGAAATGTGGGAGTAATGGTGTAAATAAACAAATTTGGGAGTATTTATGTAAAATCTGTAATTTTTGAGAGTATTCTTGTCAATTTTGCCGTAATAATATACATTTGTTTTACTGGGTTTGTGGTTGTGGTTATAGTAAATATTAATGTACTTAAATCATTTCTTTAATGTATTCACTTAAATGATTACTTAAACTATTTCTTTAATGGCAGTGCTAGCATATATTTTTCTTGCATATGATCATATTCTAATATACACTTCCACCTTTGGGTGTCTTGCCACATCTATTTCCAAAGAAATGGAATTTTCTAGCAGTACATGCCCACTTGTCTTGGCAGTATATGTAGGAAGTATATTTGGCAATATATGTTACCCATCCTTTCTTTTTGTTATGACAGTTGCATTCCTGGACTTAACATGTTTGGTTTGATGTTGTTGACTCTTGCACTTAAATTCATCTCCTACGTTCGTTTGTAGCGTAGTTTTCTTTAGCTTTAATGTTTGGTGGTTACCTAGAATGCCAAGTATTGAATAAATTCACGGTCTAATTACGCATTACTTGTATGGTGGTAGTGTGAAATTTATGTCATTAAATGTGTCCTTTTTTCGAAGTATGTTTAAGAACTATATTTGGCATTATATGACTCTATCCATCCTCTCATTTGGTTATGGCAATCACATGTTTGGTAGCATACTTTTTTTAGAACTTCAATAATTGGTAGGTACTAACATTTCCAAGTATTGAATAAATTCATGGCCTCATCAGGCATTCTTTTTCTGTTCGCAATGTGAAATTCATGTCATTAAATGTGTGCTGCTTATACACACTGCCATATATGACTTTTTATTTGGCAATATACGTGGCATTCTTTGTATCCCCTCGTCTTGCCCAAGCATATTCATACCTCACTACAGTGTGACTTTTTATCAGGCAGTATATTACCTACACATCCATATTTATACTTGGAAGTATATGTCCTTTTATGTAGTGAACACACATGAAGATTGCCAGTACATCTCCTTTAATAAAGCAATACAAGTCCTTTCCGATGGTGAAAATATATCTTTAACATTCTTTGGCAGTTAAAGTCCCATTCACTTGGTATAATTCTTCAAATCAAAATGTAAAAGATATTACTCATCATGGAAAACCATTAAAAAATCACCAAGGCCACATATGGTAGTGTATATAAGTAGCTCACATTAAATCATATGGTCCTCACACTGCCACCACGCAACCAATGCCAAATCAGGTCGTGTATGTACTCCATACTTGGCAATGTAAGTACCCATCACACCTTTAAGAGAAAGGAAACTACACTACTAATGAATGACAGGGATCAAATCCAATGCAAGAATCATCAACGACAAACCAAACATGTAAATTCCATGAAATCAAACACTACCAACTTTATTAATCATAATTTCATACAACTGGCATTCACACCAAAAAAACCACCATCCCAAAAGTCAAATCCAAAGTTATAACTCCAATCAACAACAAGGAAAAACCATTCTAAAACCTGATCAAAACACAAAGTGGATGCTCCATAACTATTACTCTAAACATCCAAAACATAGAAATGTAGACAAAACGTAAACAACAACCACGCTATTCATCACTTCTACCCCTATAAGTAAGTAATTGTGTGGTCATCTTCACCCGATATGCCTGCATATCTCTCTTCTTGACCTCAGCTACATCTTTGTTCATCATTAAAAACTCAGCAAAATTCAACACAAACATCCCACAATTATATCTGCAAAGGAAAAAAATCAAAGATTCCATTATCCTAAAAGGAAAGTAGCCAAAATCAAGACTGGAATTGATTATATTAAGTGCTACGTAACCCACATACTCGTCACTCTACTGTGGACAACCCTCAACTAACTCCACATTAAATTCCTGCTCCCCCATGGGACAATATGGGCGCTCTTTATACACTTCCGCGAGATCCACAATCATGGGCAGTAACATTATAATGGATTGCATGTATGGAGTAATTTCTCTAAGTGTCTGGCCTTTTTCCCTTTGGAATTGTACACTCTTATATTCCTCCCCTCTATGTCAAGGAAAAGTAACATCCAGCGCATGCTGGTGCTCAAAGGCACATAAATAAAATCACATTCACACCAAGGTTTAGCGTACTCTCTAGTCAATCCCCTTCACCAATCAAGCTAGAATTTTCACTAACTTCCTCCTTCATTGCCTTTCCAACGTCAACATGCTTCCTCCTTCAAGAAAATGCATAACCACGTTTACATGTTATTTCATTCATCGATAAAACATAGTATCAACACATGAGTATTGTAAGGGGTAGCAACACAGTATAAGAAATAAAATCATTTCAATCACAATGAACTAATAAACATTTTTTTAAGATTTCATATTAAAATTACAGTTGAATCATGAAGAAAAAGGCCTGCAAATCTTACCGTATTGTTCAAGCACTCAGTACTTGAGAAAAGCCGATAAATCCATGTCTTATTCTCCAATTTGAACCCATGAAGTGTAATTGGGTCCATTTTTTACGCTTGGGTTTCCTCCTCGAAAGACCTTCATTCACAAATTTCCTTACTTTTTCTACTCCCAAGGTCAGGGGCAATTCGTTCAGATCCTTCGCAAATGGCCCGTAACACTCCACACTTCCAGCATCGTTTATACGATGTTTTTTTTTGCAGTGCATTCTTTCCAGCTTACGTTTCTTCCCATTGTTGTCACCACCAATGGGTGTGTACTTGTCTAGACCTTTGTGGATCAGTTTTGGCATTAAAACATCAATGCATGAGAGGCAAGAATCTAATGCTCCAGTGCACACCTGTTTAGAGTTCATTTTAAATTATAAAAACATAAATGACCTCATCAAGAAATTATTTACACAACCTACTAAAAGATATTACATTTCATTTAATAATCTCATCACAATTGCTTGATGCGTATTGGTGTACCTGACCTCCTTCATCACTGTTATGCTAACCACAAATGTTCCGAAGTCCATTATTGCACACCCTTAAATGACACAACATGCACATTAGGAGATTAAAAAAACACATTACTACTTCATACTTGTGGGTAATTTATTATTACCAACTACAAATATAAAATACTTTATATAGGAACACATAAAATGCCTAACACATAATCATAAATCTAACTCAAAATATAATCAGGCAATTCACAAATATTATAAAAAACAAATCAAATAATAATTACCATCCGAACATTCTCTTCAGACTTTTTAATCATTTCCACTACCTTGTCTATCTCTTCCAAACCTCTGACAGAGTGTTGAGTGTTAGTAAATGGAATCGGCAGGGTCCTTCTACCATCGAGCATCTCATGATCCGCCATCAAAGATTCACTACAAGCCGCTTTGTGCTTCGTGGGTGTCATTATTTTGAAGGTTGGTGCACCATTGTTGGGTTCCTTAGCATTGTCGACCTCCAAATCCTCATCGGCACAAGGTTTTAACTTAAGAGCATCCACATCCTTTCCCATGTTGCGCTCCACGCTGTCTTTTATTACCTCTTTCTCCAATCCATCCTTTGTCACATCCTCAACACTATTACGATTTTCATTTATTCCAACTATTTTCTTCATTATTATTGCTTGAGCTGCTTGTGTCACCTTGATATCTCGAATCTCTCTTAACAATTCACTATACTCACATGTCCTCTTTATTCTGCAAAGATTCACACTTCCACCAACAACCACTCTAGTACCTTCATCACCAGCTTTGGGAATAATATCTCCTCTTAAAATCATTCTTGGAAGCAAAAACATTTTCAAACCAATTGTTGTCATGAATCATCATCAAAGCTTCCCCATTATCAACTCTTTTCTTTTTCATTTGTGTTTTAGAAGTACGCAACGACAACTTCTGATGGCGTAACACACGTGATCCACAATTCCTCTGTTGTTTCCCGGAAGTTGACCCGTCTTTGTCACCCTTATGCTTAGCTTTTAAAGCACTTTTCTTTTCGTGTGACATCAACTCTTTCACACTTTCAAGTGCCATCTCTGCAGCGATTGAAACAACTCGATTCCACAACACCTTCAGAGAAAATCCTAAGGTATCATTGTAACACCCTAATCCGTCCAGGTCTACAGCCCCTTTCAGACTAAAGTATTAACTTGGTAATTGTAAAAATTAAAAACATTTCCAAACATTTTTATTCATCATAAGAACAATATTCATAATAGTAACAGTACAAAATTTTCAATATTGCGGAAGCTTAACAAATCATAATCACAAAACGTAATTTATTTATTTGCTTCAATTCAAAACCATCACATCCATCCCGACTATCTCGCCTCCGTCTGCCTCCAAGATCACGTCACATCATTATTTCTATTTACCCGCATGTAGCAAATAAAACATACTACACACTTAAACATACTAATGCGCCGAACACCCATATAATTTGAATCTCAAATCATATTCAAATCATTTGATATCATGCACATAATGTTCAATTCAAATATTCATCATTCATGATTTTGATATTGTTCAATTTATATCAATACATGTTATTCAATTCAAATATTCATTATTCATTATTTCGACAGTGCTCTTAAATTATTGTTAATATAAGGCTAATGATAATGACAACGCTCTTAGTTATTCTTAGTCTAAGGCCCAATCATAACAACGCTCTTAAACTATGCCAAATCCATATTTCCATAACCAGGCTATTAAAGAGCAATTAGTAAACAGATGCTTAAAATATGATTAGTTTAAGGCAATTTAGCCAAACGCTTGAACTATAATTAGTTTAAGGCAATTAATTTCCAGATGCTTAAACTATAATTAGTTTAAGGCAATTGAAAACCTAACGCTTAAACTATGATTAGTTTAAGGCAACATATTTCCTGACGCTTAACTGTAGTCAGTTAAGGAAATTAATTTCCTGATGCTTAAACTATAACTAGTTTATGGCAATACATTTCCAGACGCTTAACTGTAGTTAGTTAAGGCAACAACAGAACAACGATTAACCATCGTCGGATTGGGGTATTCCCAAATGAGTGATCCTCTAGTTTGGTCTATGAAATGTATTTCAAATCACCGAATATACATATTATCATAATTCCATTCTAACCTGAGGTCTATCCTAGAGGTCTTCTAGATAGCCTTAACATCAATTATCTATATGGGTTTATCTTGGAGTTCGTTTAGATATCCTTAACAATACATATCATTTTCTTGCTCATTAATTTATTCATTTTGAATCATGGTTTTATTAATTCATAATCATCATTTAAATCAAGATGAACATATCTATTTACAATTTCATTCTTACAGTTTATTCATTCAATATCATATTTTATTATTTCGTCAGAATAAGATCATTATCATCATGTTTACATGGTTATCCATTTCATCGTCATAATCAATATTTAATAAGTGGCATTTCTTCATGGTTTATCCATTGTAATAATCATTCAATTCAGAATATCCATCAAAGTTTGATCATAATCAATATTCAACAATAGTCATCCTAATATTCATTTAACAAATAGCGCCCTAGCTTTGAGGGTTAACACCCTAGCTTACCGTCATGCATCACATAATATTTTATTTGTTAAAAACATTAAATTTATTTTCATAAATCATATTTACATTGATCATAATTGTTTTGTTTCAAAAATAGGATTTTAGAGCTCAAAAATAACATTTTCAGAAATATTTTCGGATCAACAAGTTCGGGGGATTGATCCAGCACTTAGGATCGATCCACACTAGAAGAAAATAATCCCATGTGATTGATCCAGTAGGGTGGATCGATCCACTATGCTGGTTTTTTATCACTGTTCATCTTCTTCTTTGTTCGGCCAGTTTTTCTCCAGCTCCATTTTTGGTCACCAATCTTTAAATTGTATAGAAATGTTCTCAAAGGTTCATAGATTATTTGGGTATCACTAATTCATTGTTTTAACAACAATTTCATGATTTATGATTCTTGGTTCTTCAAACATGTCAAACACAAAACTCAACCAAACGACCATTTATGAACGTATAAACGATCTATACGAACATTCTAGTCACTAGATATATCTACAGGCTTATATCGAGCTTAAACAAAGGTTTTGGAAATTTTTCGGCAAAACTTCCGGCAAGGTTTATGGCTAGCTCCGGCGACCTCTCACCAAATTGATAGCACCACTGCACTCCTCTCTCAAGAAGGAACACAATAGAAGAAGAAGTTATGAAGATTGGTGGAGAAATGAAGGAGTAGAGTTCTCCTTATATAGAGAGAGTGGGGAGGTCCTGCCAAGCTAGAGTGACGACTTTGATCGGCAAAAATCAGGTTAGTGGAGGAAGCGGCGATATAATTTTTATATTTATTTGTAATACTTTTTCTGTCATTATTTTTTGGGTGTTTGATTTTGAGAAAGTCAAAAAAATTGATTTAATTGACCTTTACTCAAAAAGGTTCTCTCATCCAATTCATATTATTTATTGTCATAATTTATTTTTAATAAATCATTTCAAAGTTCACATCATAAACAGTTTCTTCATTTATTCTTAATTTGGGTCTATACTATGGTTCCCAATCAAGATCACACATAAAGTCAACATATTGAATTTATCTCTATGAGATTTATCCAAATTGTTATATTGGATTTCAAAACACATTCTATTTCAGTCCAAAGCCTAACAATAATTCATTTTAATCAAAATAAATTTGATTAATTGAAAAATAATTAATAATAAATTTTAGGGTGTATTTCGGGGCATTACAATCATACACAGAAGTATCAAAAAATGGAACAAGCAATAAAATAAAACTACTGTATGTCATAACACACCGCGAGATCAAGGCTTCCTCCATCCGATCTCTGGTCGGAACTATGTATCTTATCTAGATCTCAGGATCCCTCGAGTAGCCCTAGAACTAGCTCTAAACTTCTAGCTCGTCATCCTTTGGAAAGTTTACTGAAATCATGGTTCCTTTGTTCTTGGTCATTCGCACCTCCGTACAGGATGAGCCTGCATGGCTCTAGACTGGTTTCACATCTGGTCTTACCCTTTGGTTTGGCACCAACCTTTGAGAAATTGGTACCCTTGTTGCAGAAAGTCTTCCCAATACCCTAATACCTTAAGCAGCAACACCCATATCATGTGACTGAGATAGTTCCCGTATAGGGGTATTAGAGGAAGTCCTATGAAAGTGCCAACTCCTCTTCTCTCTCCTACATGGTGTCCCATCTTCATTTCCCTTGAACTAGAGTAAACTTGTAATCACGGACCAATCCCTACAAGTTGGGATGTCCTAAATCTTCCTCTCACTGCTTTTTTTTCTTTTATTATATTTTAATTAAATTTGGGACTAGAATAGAGGGACCAAACATCGAAGTGAATAATTTTCAATCCCTACTTTTTGATTTGACAAGAGATAGAATATATCTTAGGATCCATTAGAGTCCACACCATTAGACATGCATGCTCTTACGGATAGACTCGCAAGGTCCTTGTCTCGTGGCTGTTGATTTAGCCCCATCATTGCTCTCTCTCTAACCTCAGCCGCTCATTTTATTCTCTAATTTGCTCATTCTCTTGTTCAATCTTGTCCAAAGTTCAAAGACACTCTATTTGATATATCTCAAGGGCCTGGAGAGTGCTGGATGGGGCGTGGGTCCCCAAGACCTGTCGAACAACATTTGGATCTTCTGGAATCTATGGATAAGGAGTACCTGGAGGCCGATTCAACTTTCCCATTCTAATGACCCAAAACATACCCTAGAAATATTAATGAATAATTATTCAAGTAATCAAATTTGTTTTGATTAAAATAAATAATTGTTGGGTTTTGGGCCAAAATGAAATGTGTTTCGATATCTAATAATATCATAATCTATATAAATCTCATAGAGATAAATCCAATATGTTGACTTTATGTGTAATCTTAATTGGGAATCAGAGTAAAAACCCAAATTAAAAAATAAATGAAGAACTTGTTTATGATGAGAATTTTGAAATGAATTATTCATGAGAATAAATTATATGAATAAAATGTGAGAACCTTTTTGAATAAAGGTCAACTAAATCAATTTTGACTCTGTCAAAGTCAAACACCCAAAAATATGATGTCGAAAAAAGTATTACAAATAATTATAAAAATTATATCATTGACCAGAGTTTAATTTTCCAATCGCAACGGTGCAAATGAATTTAAATTCGGAGAAAGTTGGACAAAAATGTGTACCCCGACCGGGACCAAAATTAGTTCCAATCAGGGAACTAATTTTCCTACCAATCGTCCGCCTAGTGCACTAACCCGATCGCCTATCATCACTACATAATTTCCTTGGCAGCTTCTTCACCTTCTTCACTATATAAACACACTACCACTCCCTCCATTCTTCATGAATCCGTTCAATTCTTCATGAAATCTAATCAGAGGTGGTCTACTAAAAATTGGACTGAACATCGATGTAGCAAAGTATACATCGTTGTTTTGGCGATTGACTTTCTTTTGAATAGCCCAACGGTCATATGAACAGCCATGTACAACTTCCTAAATCGTTGTTCTATAGGTTGAATTTTAAAGAAAGAAAGATTTTGTCTTAAATATTTACAACGTTCATGAGTGAATATCAATGTTCATACTTGTACATTGTTGTTCAAATTCAAGGTTTAGCTGGGATTTTTTAGACTTAGCCAGACTACGCTGTACAAAGTTGTACATCACAGTTCAAAAATCAGATGCCAATCAGATGCCAAAACTGAAATTTCCAGGCCTTCCCAGCCCTGTAGTGATGCCTACATTGTTGTTTGGTCTGGAAGCCAGAAATCACGTTTGCCACTCAACACCAAAAATCGATGTTAAAAATTAAAGTTTCTAAATTTAAAAACCAAGCTTTGGAAATACTTATATAATGTATTTGGAGTAAAACCAAGTATAAAAACTTAAAAATCACGTCGTTAAGGTAAAAACCA